GTTTTGAAATATATTTCTTAATTTTTGGGAGTCAAGGCCGAACGGAACTAGACAAGTGTGGCCCAATGAGGCTTTTCGGGTTGCGTAGCCAGTTTTTGCATTGGGATATCTGTTGTTCTGTAGCATCTAGTTTTTGGTAAAGAAATCGCGTTAATAAAGACTAACTTGATCACAAGCAATCACTTATCGACTTTTGAAATCAGATCAGCTATTTTTTTTGGCCAATTGTATATTTTGCAAATATTATTTGCGCGTTTATTTTGCGCAGTCTAATTTAAATCATTTATTTTCATATCTAAATCATTACATGATTCTTTTAGTCGACGCCGGTGATAATGCTACGTCAACAGCGTTCTGTTTATTAGCAATGAGAGGTTTGTAGAAACTGTTGTTCCAGTTGTTTGCCTGCCCGTGCTATGTACATGGTGTACAAAGTGCCACGCCCACTTTCTAACTAGCTTTTTTATCTTGAGTAAATTTCAGGAGATGAAAGTATAACTCAGAAGACCGGTTGTTGGTTGGAACCAGATGGTCGTGGTCGACATTGCCTTTGCCACGAAGACTTCTGTAATAAATTAATTCCACGAGACAAACAATCTCCAAGTGCGCGCTTCTTATTGATTATGAATCGGTCAACTTAAGTATTCAATTTCGTTTCTTTTTTAAGGTGACCCTATGGTTCCGCTACTACCAAATGCCGAATTTCTCAAACAGAATCCACTTCTGGACTATCAAGATCATCTTGAGGAATCTGTGGAGGTGGGTATTTTACAGTATTTTAACTTGTGCGAATAGGAGAAGATGTCACATAATTTCCTTGTTTTAGCATGACGGTGCCGCTCCAGCGCCCGAAAATATTCTATTTCCGTCAGCAGCTTCAAAAGATCCGAGGACGGCTGGTGGACCAGAAGATGATGGTATTTTCAGAATTCTAAGTTTTCACTGGTTATAATTTTAAGAAAAAAACGTCAGCTTTTGGCTTAAAAATGTTTTCCGGAAAAGTGAAAACTATGAAGTTTTACTCAACCTTTTCTTTGTTTTTTTATGTTTGCAAAAGCTCAATACAGAAATTTCTCGCATTTCTAGAGAACAGCCAGGATAAGCTGGTTGTTATTTATATTTTTGTACCAATTATTTCAATTTGCGCAGTGATAGGAAAGGTTTTCAAAAGAAGGTCGTCTATTACTCGCCTAAAAATCATAACTTGGTTTGTGCTCTCTTTCCATTGCATATTATATGTCATTTAGCAAGCCAGTATCATTACATAATCATTTTCAACCAAAGATCACCAGAATTATAGATTTGCAGTTAAAGCTATTGCTTCCTGGATACCATTCATTAGTTCCTACTTCCATTTATATTCTCCTAATTATTATTTATTGTTTGACATTCATGTTCTACCATTTCCTTAATTAAGTTCTATTTATCATTATTAAGCCATTACTTGGTATTTTTTTCAATGAGAACTTCTTCTAGATTTGGTACCTGTCGACTTTGCTGATTATGACCGAGAACTTTCAAAGAAGGATCCAAAGTCACAGGTTGGGAATATTTTATATCTTAACCTTTTCTCCTCAGAGGTCTCGGGAAGGTTACGTTCTTTCGCTTTGCAAGATAAAATAAGTCGCAGTCATGACAACCAATTTTCTAGAATATTAAATTTGTGGCAATGTTTCATTGTAAGAATTTTAACATATTTTTTCCTGTTTCATCGCTATTACAAAGTTGAAGCAAAAGGGACTAGGTTTCAGTGGA